AGAGTTTAGACTTCACCTACTTGACTTGTGTTTTGTCTTTGCCAATTCGAGTTTTGACTCCAATGTTTTTGATTACCTGAATTTGTGTTTTCCACTGGAGCATTAATTATCTACCTGAGCAAACAATTTGCTAATGGGGCTTTTTGAAGTAACATTGATTGAAATTATTTCATTAACTTTTTATTAATATTTCAAAAAGCATAAAAATTGAAGGTTGCTTGGGAGGCAATCATTTTATTAAGTTTTTGTTAAAACTGGAAAAGCATTAATCCATTATCTTAAATTGGTTCATTGTGGAGATGGTAATGTAATATGAAATGTCATCCCTTTAAGATTTCAATTCACTAGCATTCCAACAATTAACCCATTTTAGGTGATGACATTGTTTTCAAGTGCCAAGGAATAACAAAATAAAGTGACCTTATTATATGTTAACTGGAATCGGAAAGGATAGTACAGCATATGGCATCGGAAACAAAAATTTACACTACAAATTGAAGTATCCGACATGATATGACACCCTTGTACAGGTGTCTGGCTTATTACATATGACTTACAGCCCCCAGTAATGCCAACACCATATGCTTCAATTCTTCATTTACACAGTTTTTGACTTCCACGTCACACATTAGCCCTCTATGATGACCTTAATTATTTCATTGCAGTATAAATGGAGAAAACAAGCATTATGGAACCCCTACTAATCCATGTGCTCCAGATAGGGTACCTGGAGGATCTTCTAGTGGATCTGCTGTAGCAGTATCTGCTGAGCTTGTAGATTTCTCTTTAGGTGATATTTCTTTTTCTATTCTTTCTTCTCCTTCCAGTAAGCTTGTAATCTTGATTTCTTGACATTTTCTTATACACATGAAGGCTGACTTTTGACATTTGTTGCAGGAACTGACACTGGAGGAAGTGTAAGGGTGCCTGCAGCATTCTGTGGAATTTATGGTTTCCGACCTTCACATGGAATTGTTTCTACTACTGGTGTTACTCCCATGGCACAGAGTTTTGACACTGTTGGTGAGCAACAAATATGAATCTTTAACTCTAGCTGCTTGATGACAAAATCTTCCAACCTTTACCTTGGTTGATGGTTAAGTTTGGTTTAAGCAATACTTCTACATGGTTGTCATTACAAACTCAGCTTTTGGGTCATGAGGTCTCACACCAACTCTTTAATCTGTGTGAATAAATAGGATTGCTGTATTTGATTCAGTTGTGGTTATTCCTGTTCTGTTACATCATGGAATACAGTCTTATGTTTATATTTTAACTTAAGTTTGTCTAAGCTGTAGAATTCACAGACCCAATTTTATCCACATAAATAGCATGTCTTCTGCAATATGTAAGAAATGCCAGGAGACCTTGGGAGATTCTGGCATGATGGTTGAAAACCTAACCATTTATTTTTCTTGTCTTTGATAATTTTGATGCTTTGCCAGTCAAGGATGTGCCTTCATTCTCATCGATGCAAGTGTATCAAAAGAGATTTGGAGGGAAGGGTCTTTTGTACTTATGCCTAACTGAATGACAATTTTTTTCTAGCAGTTCAATTGTTGCTATATTTTCTTCCTGCAAGTCTAATATCATAAGTTAGTATTAAGTTATGCAGAAATGACTTATATTTCCCTGAATTATTTTTGATTTTCCAACTCTCTTTGTTAACAAAAATTCATCATTCAGGATGGTTTGCTAGGGATCCTATCATCTTGAATCGAATTGGACACTTGCTATTGCAATTACCTGATATGGATCCTGTGCATCCTAATCGCATCATTATTCCAGATGACTGTTTCCAACTTCTGAGTATTCCAAGTGATCGAGTGACTCAGGTTCTTTTTAAGTCTCTGGAAAAATTGTTTGGAGGTAATGTCTTGATAATGTGGCATATATCCTTCAATTTGATGCTATTGGAGAAGTTCTGTTAGTATAAGTATCAATTTTTGTATAATCTAGTTATGTGCTTAGTGGTTTTTCCAGGGGAAGTTGTAAAACATATAAACCTTGGCGATTATGTTAACGATAGAGTTCCAAGTTTAAAGCACTTTATGGACAAAAGCAATGAACAGAAAGAGTATAACATACCATCTCTAGTAGCCCTTTCAAGTTCTATGCGGTTGCTTCAGAGGTCTGGATCCTGAATAGAACTGCCTGGCTTTCTAGGCCTTGAACTACTGCATTTGAAATGCAGATTTCATAGTTCAATTTTCTTGTGTTACAATATTTTGATTTCCCTAAAAGTTGATTTCCTCAAAATGTGATTTGTCCTTGAAGTATAGGTACGAGTTCAAGAACAATCATGGAGATTGGGTTCTTTCAATTAAACCTGATTTAGGTCCAGGGATATCAGAAAGGATCTGGGAAGCCATTAGAACAACAGATGAAAAAATCAACATCTGTCATACTGTGAGGAATGAACTCCATGCTGCTCTTACATCTCTGCTTGAGGTCTCTTTTTCTTTCTCTCTCTCACGCACATACATGCACAGAAATGGTTCAATGAACAATTTTTTTTTAGTTAACAATAATTCCATGGTCCAACTTTTTTGGATTTCTCAGCATCTTTTCTAATCCATTCTTGTTTTAAATATGCTTTCAAACTGAAATACACATACATCTATCCATATCTGTGTTTATAAACACACACACACACACACACGTCACATTTTGCTCATGCTCTCTTTCTTTAAATAACTAGTTATGGAACCATTGACGGAGCATTCAGCTTTCATTTCCCAAATTTTGAACCTGAAAAATCTAAGTAGTTGGATTGCTATATGGTTGAAATAATATCACTAAGGTACACAAGTGAAAATAAAGACACAAATGAAATGAAATTATCAAGTAGTGATTAATACTTCTCTTTTCATTGCACAAAAGATTTAATATTATTATTTTAGATCCTCAACGTGTTTTCAATGAATTCAGGTATTATTACTCGTAGAAACTCTGCACCAAGGTGGAAACGACAATGTTTACCCCTGCAAGTTATCTGAAATGTCCAGTTTTATTTTAATTCACTCGTGCTATTTGAAATCTATGGTTTTCACTCTTATAACCAAGTTCTAATAAGATAATCCTCTTCAGGTCACTTCTTTCAGTGCTCCCTTTTCAAATTTAATTTTTTAATAATTTTTTGCAGGATTTTGGTATCCTTGCAATTCCAACAGTTCCTGGTCCTCCACCTAAACTGCAAACAGAGGCAACTAAGCTTGAAACTTTTCGTGTCGGAGCTTTTAGCTTGCTCTCTATTGCTGGAGTTTCTGGGTTTTGCCAGGTAAGTTGCACTATCAGCTTATCAAGACAAATTGCCATGTATCACCTTACTCCTTTTTTTTAATCTAAAGATATATTAATACTGTTTCCAATCAGGTGACAATACCATTGGGGATGTACGATAACCTTCCTGTTGCAGTTTCACTTTTAGCAAAACATGGTTCAGATGGATTTCTACTTAACCTTGTTGAAAGCCTCTATGTTCCTCTGAAAGAACAGATCAAAATTGCTGAAAGCATGAATTATTGAAGTTGGTCTTTTGGTACCACTCATGGTTAATTCTAATTCCTTCTGTAAGAAATAAATCAGAGAGAGGAGAAGATACTTTTCATTGTTTGTGTCCTATAAATGTAAAAGCGATAATGCTTTACAGGAATTTGACCATGATGTAGTCAACCAGTCTTTTCCACAGGATAATTTCTATATGCATTTAGGGGCCAGGACCCGCTTTAATTCTATGCTTTGACAATCACAATCATTCACCAGGTAGGTATTTTAGCATAAGCAATTCCTCTGGGTAGTTAGCCTTTTAGTTTAACCTTGGAAACATTCTTGAAATGGGGAGCTAAGTTATGAACTTTGCTGAAATTCACAGTTCCAGTTAGTGGAAGTCTTTGTTGGTTCCATATGTAGAGAAAATGGTAAATATTGCTTTGGTAGGTTTTAGCCATTATATGCTCAAAACAAAAACTAAACCATATAGAAAATATATAACGCCATCATCATATTAAGGTTATTTTCTTTCTTTCTGTTTTTTTTATTTATTATGGGGCCACATGATCAAAGGAGAAAGAGAAATGCCTAGAAAAAATGATTTTTATTCTGAATGAAAGTGAAACTACATATGCAGTTGATTGTGTTTTGTATGAGTGCCACTGGACACATTATATCATAAAAGACTAAATTACTCTTAGAAGCAAATAAAAGGCCATTGCCCAATGTTGTCCATCTATCTAGGGTTTTGGGAAGGGTAGGCGGGATACGGTCCTTACCTTTGGGAGTGCTTATTTTTATTTTTAAGCAGTTTTCGAAAAAAAAAAAAACCGCTCATTTTAGGCTGGGACCACACCAATAAACACTTATATGCTGTTGGGAAATAAACCCGAATAAGTATTTTTTCAGGAAATATGCTAGTTTTGAATAAGTTCAAGATTTTGCCTTCTTTTCAAGTGCTTTTTGAAAAAGTAGGGCTGTTCACGGGTTGGGTTGGGTCGGTTTACTGCTGTTTTTCCAACCAATCCGACCTGATCAGGTTGCCTGAAAATGAAACCGAAACCGACCCTGTGTTAAGCAAAACCAACCTGGTCGGTTTGAGTCGGTTTGGATCGGTTTGAGTGCTTGAGTTGAGGGGATAAGGGAGTAAGGGCAGACCAAGTTAGAAGTTACCAAGAAAAGAGAAAGTCAATTTGTGTTAGAAAAAGAAGACTGAAATTTGGAATTTTTAAGAAGGCTTCTAATCTAAATAAAAAACACACCTAATTGTAATTACCTATTTGGTATAAAGAACCTTAGAGAATAGGATCTTTTCTTTAAACCTTCCAAAAAAATACAAGAAGCTATTACTTGCAATGCTTGCCATTAATGGCATTCCTAAAGAGAAGACTAGAAAGTAGAAACTATAAGTAACTATAAGTAACTAGAAAGTAGAAACTAAGTTAGGTACTAACTACTAAGTACTAACTAGGAACTAAGTCGGTTTGGGTCGGTTCAGTTTCGGTTTTCATGTGTGAAAACCGAAACCAAACTGACCCATCGGTTTATGCTTTTTAGTAACCCGAAACTGACCAACGCTAAAGAAAACCCAGCCGACTTGGGTTGGATCGGACCGGGTTGGTCGGTTTGGGTCTTCTTATGAACAGCCCTATGAAAAAGTGTATTGTGTTTCTGGCTCATCTTGGTTCACCACAATTTTCAAATTACCTATACTACCTTATATACTACCCCCATTTGAAAGAAGTGTTTTTTCATCAAACACTCGAAAGCATTTATTAGGATAAGCACTTAAACACTTATTTATCCAAATTAATACCCCCAAACATGGGCTCATTCTCAAACCCACTTTTTCATGCTTGCCAAAGATTTTACCATTGCACCAAGTAGTAGCTTTGCACTGTAAAGGGTCATTACCCAATGCTTTCCCAGCCATCTGAGTTCTTGGGAGGGGTGGACTCAATATGGACCTAGACTTTAACATTTGTCTTTTCAAAAGGTGGCAACTCTCAGATTCAAACCCACACTTTCATGCTTGTCAGTATGAGATTTTACCATTTTACCAAACAATAATGGGGATCTCTGGAGACTTCTCACTCTATATATTTTGATTGTACTGCCATAGGAATCCATCTCCTCAAGAATATGTCCATAATCTCTTCTATGAATAATCTTATTTTAATTTTTTCATCATTCCCAAGGGAAAACTGGCAATTGTGGATATTTGTAAACCAAGGGTTCATAATATCACTCTATTGAGAAGGGAAACCAGCAAGAACGGCCAGTTCTTCCACCTGTTCTGCCACCTTTTGTACTTTGTCCACCATCTCCATGAGCAAAAACACAAAGCTTGCCATTGCAAATGCGTCACGGTTCTCCAGCATTCCTAGCTTGGAGGGAGACATAGCAATACTCAGCTCCACTCTCATAGACTGCAATTCTGCCATTATTAACACTCTGGAGCGACCCTTCTTCATTTTCTCGATGCTATCTCCGAGCTCCTTCAGCGTGCAGCCCAGCAACAAAGCCACTGTTTGGCATGTCTCCTTAGCAGTCAGTCTGGCGGGCACCGACTGTGGCTGAAAACCATAAACACAGGAGTGAAGTTAAGACATGGGATTATTACTCTGTACAAAGTGTATTTGACAATTATCAAAGTTGTTCCTTTGATTGCTTAATTTAAAAAAAAAAAAAAAACAAATTCCAAGCTTGTACAGCCCAATTTTCATGGTTTATATGCAGCCTGAGGCACATCTGAGGGGACCCACTGCCCACAGGGCCATTACATATTGAGGAAGTTTCTCGGGTCAATATTCTAGATTTGGGTGTTCAAGCTACCCAATGGAAACTGTGGAACGTTCATTGTTTATGATCATCCACTTGAGTTGATATTGGTTTGAGAATCTCCTTTGTGGGAACCACAGAATGCTTGGTTTCTGTACCTCTCTCTCTCTCTCTCTCTCTCTCTCTCTCTTAGTGCTAGTAGAATTTGGTTATTAGTTCAGATGAAGCCAAGGGATTCACTTTCATGCCTGTCTGAGAGATTGAAGACAGCCTTTTAGGGAGATGATGGAAGCAGCCAACTCTCTAAGAGAATCTCCAATTTGTAGGTACTTGTTCCAAGGATAAGAGAACCCAAATCTTCCATGCCATGGTTCCCATCTTGCAAAATTTGCCTGAAAGATTAGACAAAATGGTTATTTCTTATTCCTTTAACTTTCATTATTTATTGGGTAGAGGAGATTTTCCAAAAAAAGGAGAAACTAAATGAGAGCAAAACCAGTCCAAGTTTGCCTAAAGTATTAAGTTCTGGGAGACAGAAACCCTCCAAAATTAGCCAGTGCACAAGAATTGAAGCAGAAAGCAAAGAAATAATGGTGCTAGATCGATAAAAAATCTTATTATTAGTTCATTGCATGGTGGGGTCTGCAGGGCCCACTACCATGCAGTTGATGAATACCAGTGCTCTTTCATCTTTGTCTGAAAAATCTCAAAATTGAGTCACTAACAGAGGGAATCCAGTTACCAGTGACTCGTCCTTGGACTTTGAGTATAGCACTGATTTGGAGCCATTGGAATTGCTTGTGCTCTGATTTTCCTTCTTTTCATCCACCTCTTTGAAGTATTCCTCCAAGCATCCTACAATAAAAGGAATGATATAATGGATGAAGCCTTTGTTTGTAAGAGGTGGTCAGAATGAAACTCAGGAGCAGAAACAGAAACTTCATATTTGGTTCATTTTATAGAGCCAAGTGTAATTAATTTGTTGGAACTGATCACCTTCAATGGAAGAGGCCAGACTATTAAATTTGGAGGCTGTCAAGCAATGAAGTTCATCACCAGCCCACATAGGAAATATGAATAAGCTTGTAAACACACAGATGGCGAAACCCATGGCGATTGTCGAAAGGCGTTCACGGGCTATCTCAATGACCTCCTCGGCACGCATACCAGATACTGCAACCAGATTGAAAGTTAGGATGAAGATCATGACCCCATAGTCATATCTCTGCTTGATGCTGGGAATTAGTCGAGTGTATGTTGCAGCAGCACCTGAAATATCAATTATTTTGTCACAGACAACATTCAAAAAATACTAAGCATTTTAGTTCAAATGTACCCAAGAATGATTTTTCTTGGATTAATTGTCGACTTTGTTATGTTGATGGATCAACAGACCAAGGATAAATACTGAAACGCCAACAGTGAGAGCTTTGCCAGATCCTCCAACTTCATGAGCTAAAATTGCTGCTAAACTGCCGAAGCCACCACCTAAAATAGTCCCAATTCCCCTATTCAAGCCTTTGCTGAGCATAGCACCTGACACACATTACCAAAACAACTAGTCTGCAACTCTGTACTGACCAATCAAATGCACTATAAGCAAAAATTACAGAAGATTCAACAACCTCAGCTCACCTGCATAGAACTCAAAAATGACCACTACAGTCATGACAGCCCACATGGCATTTTCTCCCACTTGCTTGTAAAGTGGATTGAGTGCAAAGAAGAGAGAAACCAAAACCAGAGCAGCTCCAACCTTGATACTGTGAATCAATCTTTTGTAGTCATAAATGCTTCTAGTTGCTGAAATATATGGAAGAGGAGAAGAGAAAAAGGATTGGACCCTGTTGATTTTCTTTGCAGGAGAAGCTCCCTCTTCATTTGGAATTGATATTACAGCTGAGTTCATGGCTGACATTCTTCTCTCTTGCACTTGATTGTTAGAGAAGTTGAAGTGGATGGGAATTAAATTAAGTGTATATATACACACACAGCAAGCCCATGAAGTGGGCATGAGCATTTTGCCTCCCTAGACATAGTTTTCGCTGAAAATGAAGACATGCATGGTGGGAAGTACAAAAAGGAGATGTGTTACTGAGCATGGTGACTAAGGTGGAAGACACGTGCCCTACACATGCTTTTCTGAACACTTGGGCTTTGCCACAATACTCAAATCTCTCTCTCTCAAATGGAGTTCACTTTTTGCTTAAGCGAAATGTAGTCATGCTTTTGATTGATTTTCCACAGCAGAGATCGGATTTGGTGCTCACAAAATTGTGTTCTAATAATTCTGACAGATTTTTAGCCGTGCATTGGGAATATTTCCTCATGAATAAAAAGATACTAGCATAGAGATATTTTCAATGCATGATTAAAAAGGGCTGTGAGAACAGTGTGAGCACAAGTTTGTGAGGATTGAATCTGCTAATGATGTACCCTAAGGCCATGTTTAGTTTGAAGGAAAAAGTAGGAAAAGGAAAGGAAAGGTAAGGAAATCTTTACAAATCTCGTATAGGTTTTGATATTTTTCCCTACGTTTTTCTTCAAACCAAACATAACCTAAAGAAGAAGATCTAGCATCAGCGGTCACTTAAACTATACTGTAAAGCCAACCAAGATATACCTCAAGTTCATTTAGTCCCTTGAGGATTCTCTCAGACACATGCATATGCATGTATGTACTGGTATATGAATTATATGTTATATATTTATGATTGATGTATGTGAGGGTAGGTCTTGGTGGAAAGGTTGGTTTGTTCCATGGTTACTTGGGTGACCAGGATTCAAATTTTGGAATCAGCCTCTCTCTCTCTCTATCTATCTATCTATCTATATATATAAATATATATAAGTAGGGGTAAGACTGTATACATCTATCCCTCTTCAAATCTGGCATTGATGGGAGTCTCATATAGTACTAAACTGCCCTTATATATGTATGTATATAATCGACATGTGTACAATATACAATACATGCATGTGCGTAATTTATCCACCGACCTTCTAACCTTCCAATTCCATTTATGGAATCCTACTTGTGATAAGGCTAAGCAAAAGTGGGAGGAGAAAACACAGACATGGACGGATGTATAGTAGAGTAGGATAAGAGGTTTAATCATTCGTTTGTTTATTTGTACATGCTAAAACCAAGAAGATGTTGCAGAGAAATGGCACCACCACTTAGACAACAAAGTGCGCTTATGTTTTGGGCCACCAACTCCTGTCTATTTACCTAAATAAATCATCCTGCTCTTAAAAATATCGCCTTGTTTTCCTAGACATGTTCTGGTATGTTTTAATTCATGTTCTTTCTTATCTATCATCAATTCATCATACATCCATCAAATCATCATACATCCATCAAATCACCACACATCCATCAAATTACCGTATCATCCATTATACATCCATAAAAAATCGAAGAATATGGTTTTGCTATAGGAGTGAGCACGGGTCAGCTTGCTCGGTTCCAAAGGTTTTTGGAATCGAAACTTACCTTTTCGGGATTGGTTTCTGGGGCTAGTTCTGGAGTTCAAATCAGCCCCCACAAGGCTGCGCCCCACAACGTCCCACAGCATATCCCTGTTGTGTATTGGGAACATCTCCAAATGATGAGATCGTCATTTCTGGTATTATCATTGGGAGATGTTCCCAATACACAGCAAGAATATGCTGTGGGATGTTGTGGGGTGTAGTCTTGTGGGGGCTGATTTGATCTCCTAGTTCTGGCCTTGGCAGTTCCAGGGTCTATTTGTGAAACTTGTTTTTTTAACTCCTACCACCCAATAAAATGGAACTTGTTATTTAAACAACAACAATAATGATGATGATATGGTTGAAAACTTTATTATTATAATTTAAATTTTGTAAATATTACCTTTTATATTATATGTAAGTATTTAATTGAAGAAAAATGATCAAATCACTTAAGAAACTTAGGGGGTGCTCAACCATGATCTTTGTAACCATGAGTGCTTAGGTTCAAATCTTTACATCCTTAAAATATCTTGTGATTTTAGTTAAGTTTGGTTCCAAGGCCAATTCCACCAAGGTCAACCAAGGCTAGTTCCACAAAGTCGGTTTAGGTAGAGTAAACCCTTAGACCCTGGAACTGACAGGGTGGGGGTTAGTTTTAAAAATTTGGAACCAAACCCTACCTAATAACAGATTGGGTAGGGCTTGTTCAAGGCCAGTTCCATTCGGTTTCAAGTAGAGCCTACTCATTTTCTCACCCCTATTTACTATGTGGTGCAATTACTCTTGTTTGGGAAAAATCATGGAAATGCAAACTTCTCTAGATCAATAGATCTGCAAAGGAAAATTCATGATACCGGAAGGACTTTGACCAATGTCACCAATTAAAACCCCCCATGAATTTGTTAAATAACCACTAGATTGGTTACCGCGATTATGTGGGTTACAAAATTCCCGGTATCATGTCTTTCTGGAATCATAGTTGAATCTGTGTGCAAAACATGTGAAAATGGACGTATTTTCATTTAAGAAATTGGAAAAGAAAAAAACAAAAAAAAAAACACCCTCCCTGTTTTAATATATATTTTCCCTTCCACTTCCTCTTCCCACTTTATTCCATTATCTCCTTTCTCTTCTCCTTCTTGTTCTGAATGTAAACTGATGAATCAAATTTTTTTTTAGCTAAGTACCTCGTCATTTGGTCCGCTTCCAAGTGGCCGATGACCCAGAGGCCAAAGTGGAGAACTTTTGCTAGATGAGGACCTAGATGCCAAGTTGACCAGGCTGAGCTAGGGGTAGATTAGGTGCCGAGCTGACTGAGCCGAGCTGGGCAGGTTAGGTGCTGAACTGACTGGGTCGAGTTGGGTAGGTTAGGTGTTGAACTGACTGGGCCGAGCTGCATATTAGGTGACGAGCTGACCAGAGGGCCGAGTTGCCTATTAGGTGTCGAGCTGACCAGAGTGTTGAGCTGCCTATTAGGTGTCGAGCTGACTAGAGTGTTGAGTTGCCTATTAGGTGTCGAGCTTACTAGAGTGCCGAGTTAGGGGCAGATTAGGTGGCGAGCTGACCAAGCAGAGCTGGATTGATTGTTGAGCTTCGTAATTCTTTAGAGACCTACAAGGAATCAATGTCAAAGGACCCGGGGTGGCTAACCCGACGAGGTCACTCCGATGCTTAAGTCAGTACTCTCATAGTAGACTGTGAGCTAAAAATCATAAAGTATGAGAGCTAGAATATGCTTACTTCCCCCCCCCCCATGCCATTGGGGTTGGTGCCTTTATATAGGCATTGTCTGGCGTGGGCTTCACGCACCGTATCCGAGATTTCTAAGAGGTCGCCTAAGTGGTCCAAGATTCCCGGAGGCAACCGCCATGCACGTTGACCATCCTCCGGAACGTTCAATACGTGGGCCAACTTCCAAGGATCGTGGGAGTGTTGGGATATGCGTGCCGAATTTGTCGGCGAGCACGTCTCGCAGGTCACTAGGTCGGCGCCTGTGCCAGGTTGCCAGTTCGGCGCCTGTGCCAAGTCGCCAGGTCGGCGCCTGTGCCAGGTCGCCAGCTGGGACACCATCATCTTGGCTAAGGCAAGTTGTTGCCTAAGTGGTTCCAGATGTCACCTAGTTGTTCCGAAATGCCATGTGTCACAATGTCATTGGGGGTCCAAATCCGCCCTCATCATTTGACCCCACTACCGAGCTGAAAGTAACTTGGTGAAGGGAGTAGATTGCTCCTTTTGGCCTAGAATGACTAATTCGATGAGCTCGTAAGCGTCGATCCAATTTGCTTCTCAAGTCGGAAGAGTCCAAGTGTTTGCAGCCTTGGGGTCTGGGAGCGACTCGTAGTCCACTCTCCTTACCCTTGGTTTTGCCCATGCCAAAGAGGCGACTGGGTCTTATGTGGCGCCGAGGTCTTTTATCAGCTCGGTACTTTAGCCCTTGGGCTCTGGGAGCGACTCGCAGTCCACTCTCCTTACCCTTGATTTTGCCCATGCCGAAGAGGCGACTGGGTCTTATGTGGTGCCGAAGTCTTTTATCAATTCAGCACTTTAGCCCTTAGGCTCTAGGAGCGACTCGTAGTCCACTCTCCTTGACGTTGCCCATGCCGAAGAGGCGACTGGGTCTTATGTGGTGTCGAGGTCTTTTATCAGTTCGGCACTTTAGAGCTATGGCTGCGTTGCATCAACCTCGTTAGTGGCACCGGTCACCCACTCCTACAAGAAGCTACTGAGAGCTCGACCTACGGGGGCAGCACTACTGACTTTAGGTCACCAGCTTGCATGGGAGCCTTGGAAGGCTCGACTGGCAGGGGCGTCAGTGCAGTCCGTTGGCCGCAAACTCCCGCGGAAGCCATGAAGAGCTCATCTTGTAGAGGGTACATCGCGAAGAGGACTGATGAAGCTTTATCCGAGTTGAAATAAACTCGGCAGAGCTGCTTAGTCTATTGGCCATCAACTTCCAGCATAGTCTTTGAGTTCATAAAAATTGGAAACTAGAAAGTGAGAGCTTTAGTTTCTAAAAGGTGAGGACTTAACTTTCTAGAAGAAGAGGACTTAGCCTTTTAGAGGATGAGAACTTAGCTTTTTGTAGTGTTTCCCACAGATGATGCCAATTGATGAATCATTTTTTTTTGGCTAAGTACCTCGTCATTTGGTCTGTTTCCAAGTGGTCAATGACCCAAAGGCCGAAGTGGAGAACTTTTGCTAGATGAGGACCTGGATGCCGAGCTGACCAGGTTAGGTGTCGAACTGACTGGGTCGAGCTGCATATTAGGTGACGAGCTAACTTGAGGGCCAAGCTACCTATTAGGTGCAGAGCTTCCTATTAGGTGTTGAGCTGACCAGAGGGCCGAGCTGCCTATTAGGTGCCGAGCTGACCATAGTGTTGAGCTGCCTATAAGGTGCCGAGCTAGGGGCAGATTAGGTGGCAAGCTAACCAGGCCGAGCTGGATTGAT